TCCCAGAATGGCTGGCTGGGGAATTCTGGGAATTGAAGTCCACCTATCTTAAAGTGGCCAAGGTTGAGAAACACTGGACTAAGTGCTGAATGAGACAGCTGGGGAATCCCTTGGGAAGTAGCTGTCTGTACCCAGCAGCAGCCAAACTGCCCCCCAGCTCTGCTGCAAGAGCAGCTCCGTCAAGCTCCTCCTCTCCCAAAGCACATGCCAAGGGGTCACTGTAAGAGCATCTATTCCACATTTTCTCTTCCTTTCCACACCCTCTCTCTTTTAGTGCTACGCCTTCAGCAGTGTGAATCTGGAACAGGGATGGTCTTTTTCTTCATTGCTCTTATGTGAGTTGTTCCAGGAGCCCACTGCCCATTTACCCAGTCCTCATCTCCTTGCCCTCACCTTTCCCTTCCCACTCTCGCCTCCCATTAATCTCCATTTGTTTGGGGAGAGGGAAACAGCCGAGAAGTGAAAACCTGTTCAGGAGCCAAGAGTGAGTTAAGGATGCAGGAACAGAACCGGCCATTCTGCTCTGCCTTGCTTGCTTGCAGGGTTTTTTTTTTTCACCGTGTGCTGATAAAGAGCTCAGGGAATGGCTGAGTGTCTTAGGAGAAGGTCACCTCTGCCCAAAGGCGGAGAGGAAGCTGGGCTCATGACTCTGGCAGAACACATGTCCTGGCACCTCCAGCTAACAGACTCTCCAGCAGGAGGAGGTGGTACGAAAACATTTGGGAAGCCGTTACTGATCTCAGCACACAGTGCTGGGCTACTTCCAGCAGGTAGCCACGTTCTTCTGTTTTGACCAAGACAGTCAGAAAGACTGAGCCAGACACTCCTGTTCTTTGATTCTGTAGGATTTAGCTGAAAGGATGAACGTTGCAGGGAAGCAGAACAGGCGAACTTAACTCCCTGCATAAAATCAGGGAAGGTGGAAAATGAGCAGTTGGCCCTTAATGCTTTATCCTGCTCATGCATTGGACAGAAGCATTTCAAGGCCACCGGAATGGAAACAATCACTCTGAAACGGAAACGGCAAATTACCTTCAGAAATCGGATCATTTTCTTCACCACACCTTGTTTCACAGCTTCTTCCACCGCCGCCAGACTTGCCGGCAGGATGTGACTCAAAAGCCCAATGGCTCTCTTAATGAAAATAAAACAGAAATGGAGCACTGCAGGGTGAAATGGGCTAGATGGTTATTTCCCAAAATGAGTTATCGTATTGGTTCACCTTGTTCTTGAGCTGGCTGTGCCCTGTGCTGGGTACATCAACGGCAGAGGAAAACGGCAAGCTATTCATGATTTGGAAAGGCAGCTCATTATGGCTTTGCAATCTTGCCTTTTCCAGTGTCAAAGGAATAGGGAGCACACCCATGGGATCCTAACACCTGTAGCTTGAATTGATTGTGGCAAGGGATGAAGGGAATCAATCGATCAATCACATTCCCAAATTATCTTTGGTGAGTGCCCAAGGCCACTCAGGTGTAGCCTCCCAATAAGCCACAATCAGAAAGCAAAATCTTCAAAATATTGAAGATATTGATACCACTTAAGTAATGGAAAATTAAACAAAGAAGAAGAATGCTGAAGTCTTAAATAAAATGTGCATTAAATGTTTCCCAAAGCTATCAGCAAGTCCCTTTCTTTGACAGTCTGTTTTTGAGGTAAGATCCTGAATTAAAATCAGTTAGGTAATGATTCTGTGCAGCTGTAAGGATTTCCAGTGGGAGCATGAAACCAACATGTCCAACACTTCCTCAGTTCAGGTCCACGTGGGCACCCACCTCTTCATATAGCTGTTGCCACCATACTGACAGCACCTGGCTTCAATATTGATCTTTCTGGGGAGAAGGTGTGGAGAGGGGATACCATCTAAATCCCTACTCTTCTGGGATTTCTGTTAGCCCAGGATCTCCAACTGAAAAAAGATTTGGGATTCTAGCAAGAGAAAGTCTTGATCCTGCCCCAAAGAATGTAATTGGCTTGGATCTCTTGGGGAGATGTCCTAAATGTTAACTGAATGAAGAAGGTTTCGTGTAGGCCTCTTCCCCAGGAATGTGACAGTTAAGAGCCTGAATGTGGCAGTTCTGAAGGGGGTCCAAAAAAGATACAGGGGACCAACGTACCTCCGAGACAATGTCAAGCTGTAAATGGAAGAGGGCTCAGTAGGAAGCTGATAGGGAAATAATTTCTGTTGAATTAATTCTGCCAGCTCCTACCTTACAGGCTTCCAATAAAGATGTATAAATAAGTTTTAAATAAATAAAATCTAACTGAGTTACATTTGCACTGGGAATGAAAAGCAGGGATGAAGAGGATTTGTCCCAGAGTGATCTAGATGAATAAGCCAAAAGCTTGGGATTCTTGACCTTCAACACTCACTGTTATGATCCTCCCATCTGGACTGTTGAAGAGAGACATACATTTCCCAGAGATTTCTTCTGCAAGTTCCTGAAACAACCATCAGGATTAGAATGACAGCGTGCAAACAGCAGAACTACAGCTTAATTAATGGTCTGGAGGACAAGCACGGAACCAACCGTGTTCCTTTGACAAAGGAACAGACAGACATGGGGAGACCATGCTATGTTTTCATGGGAGAGACCTGCTCAGACACAAAGCTTGGGGCAGAAGCTTGACCCAGCCATTCACTATTTCACAGCTGATCTTATCCCATGGGGGGTGATATGGATAAAAGGACAAGGTGTAGCTCTTCTACAAAACTAGCAACAAGGTGGGAGAGGAAAGGCAGGAAGAAACCAACAGATGAAGAGTATAGCTCTCATTCCTCACTCATACTTAGAAGCTATTTTAAATATTCTCAGGGATGGGCCCTTTATAAAAAATCCACAATTTTAATGTAGTTGGAGACTGGGTATAAGCATGTTCATTCCCATCCCATCCCATCCCATCCCACCCCACCCCACCCCACCCCACCCCACCCCAATATACCTCTCCCACAACAAAGGAAGGGGGAAAAAAATCTAAAATGGAAAAGCGGGCAACCCAAACAACCCAACAAGAGCTGAGTATCTTCAGTGAACCTGGAATTTTGATGGAAGGGAAAAGGCAAGAAACTCTGAGCAGTGGTTATGGTTGATGGAATGTGTGGAACACTGAACAGAAGCCCTCCGTATGCCACATGCTGTTGTGGGACTACCACCAAAGCAACTGGCTGAACCCTTGTGGTTGAAGAAGTCAGGAACCTTCCTTCAGCAAAGAACCAAGAAATATTGCAACTAAACATCTGCATTAAGAGAGGAACTTGCCCCGGAGAACAGCTAGATCAGATGAGAATCCCAGATGTTCTGGGGCCAGAACAAGATGCAGGTTTATAAATCACCTCAATGATTGAGTTGGGCTCCAGGGAGAGATTCATCATTAGGCCTAGGACTGCATACAAACACTCAGGATATCTGGTGACACTGTTCTGGGTCCAGCACTCGTTCTATGAAAGCAGAAAACAAAATCTTCTTACAAAATCACCCAATCCCATGGATGCTCCAATATTGATAGGTTCCCTTCTGCTCTACCATCCCTTGTACATTTCCTTGTCCCTTGGTAGCTTCTCCAGATCAAAAATACCTTACCAGGAAGGTTCTCCCCCAGGGACGGCCAAGCACGTTATGGTAAAGAAGTAACAGATGTTGGCATGTCCAGTGAGGAGCTGGATTTGGACCCCTTTCTTAGTCAGAAGTCCTGGAGAACCACTGCCAGGCAGAGCAGGCAGGAATGGACTAGATTGTTGACATAATTTTGCTATTCCAAAAGGCCCTCAAGACCTGGTTCTGGGATCAGGCCTGGGGCTCCCACGGAACTGGACACCTGCTCAGATGGCTCCACTGCTGAGGGGGCCATTTTTGTTCTCCCTTCCCCTATGATTTGTATTTTTGGTTTTTATGGTATTTATTAATGAGTTTTTAAATATTTTTTCTGTTGTTTTTATATTTGTCTTCTTATCTAATTGTTGTATGCCACCTAGAGTCACTTCGGTGAGATAGGCGGCTATATAAATTTGCTAAATAAATAAAATAAAATAAAATAAAATAAAATAAAATAAAAATATAGCCTGACTGAAATCAAAGCAACTTTAAGGATACCCCTCAGCTCATAATGACAAAGCAAAACCAGAGTAGAGAGGACTGATGTGGTTATAGACGTGACAGATGGCTAAAAACAGCCACCTCTGCTTTGAAGCAAAAAAAAAAATTATGACTTGTGAGGTTTTATTTTTCACCTGAACTTCCCAACTTCTGCAGGCTAACGGAGCAGGAAGAATACATGTGGGAGTGAAAGAAGGAGGCAACTAAATGGACAATAAATCGCCAGCAGCAAACTACTTACCACAAAGCTCAAGCAAGCTGGCCAGCATTCCTGGTTTTCAGTCATCTGCATCCGGATGACTGCATCTGAGCAGAGATCTCCCATGATGGCGATGCATCGGCTGAGGGCCGCCTCATTCACTGTCTCAGAAGCGCTCTTGAGATAAAAGAGGAATAGCTTTACGAGGGCACCCAAATAACAGATCCAGTTGAGTTTGAAATCACAGGCAGTTGCAGTATTTAAAAAATTCCATCCACTGAATCTCACGAACCTACATTTCTAGAGAGTCTTCAAAAATATTCGTGCTTAGAGAAAAGTCAAATTTCTGTCAGGCAATAGTGAAATATCAACAGGGAAAAAAACCCAGTAAAACAAAGTGAAAAGTAAAGAGATGTGGCCTCCATTTGGGAACCTTTCCCAACAGTCATAAGGGCAGGGGGACAGAAAGAAGGATGGGAAAATCCTCCAGGGGCTCAAAGGAGACTTTTACTTAGAAATGAATTCTAAGCTGTTTCTCAGGGAAAGAAACCCAAAGGGATGTAAATCTTCCATAAATCATCTGCAGCAGTGCAACCAGGCTGGTAAAATTAGATCCGTAGCTAAAATCATAGTTCTGAAAGGCACAGAGTCCAATATGCAGCCCCAACCCCTGCAAAAGGAGGTTGGCTAAGAAGCAGGCAGCTCCAGATGATTCAAGATGGGGAAAGTGACGGATGGTGAAGCCAGAAAAACCAACCACCGTTGCTATCCTCTCAACCCATCACAGCCGTCTTGGAACTGAAGGGTGGCCCAGGAGATGCCTGAACTTCCTAGTGTGCTTTTCCATAAAACTTCCATCCGTTTTTAGCACTGGGTCCTGCCTACCTGGTTCCTAGGGCTATCAATGAATCAATGCTGAGAAACACAACTTGGGAGAACAAGGTTCAGGAACAAAAAGGTTTGCTTACCAGCAACTGAGTAAAGATCGGCAACGTCTCTGTGGAGAGTTTAATACGGCACTGGATTTTGAAGCTATAAGCAAAGCGAGACTGAGTTAGACTTTGAGTTATGGTCTTCAAGGGACAGACATGATCATCCGAGACTTAATCTCCACCCAATTGTGTTATGCGTCTATCATCAGCCACAGAATTTGCTCACGCAAGAAACCACCCATTAAGACAACTTTAGAAGGGGATTAATCCAATTCAGGTTGGAAAATAAGACTATCAATGGCCACTAGGAAAGATGCAGATACACTTTCTGCCAAAATCAAGAACATTCTGCCTCTCAGTATCAGAGCAAAACACAGAGGAGTTTGTCCTGCTGGAAGGCTTCTTACAACAGGCTTCTGGATGTCACTGCAGGAAACCCACTGTGGGGCCAGAAGGAGTAGACTGGCCTTGAACAATTCTTGATGTTACAGAACTGCAGAAAGAGCTCTGAGACTAGCACCATCAGAGAAACTTACCAATATGGAAAGAAAGGCAGCTGCCTTCTTCCATTACTGCTTCCTGGCAGAAACTTGTCTTTGAAACAAAACCTCCATGAGCTGGAAGCCATAGAAGACCATCCAAAACCTCACTGCCTGCATGATTGGGAAAGCGTGGTTGGCTTCTAAATCCATTGTATTACTGAAGCCATCAGCCTTGGATCTTTGAATTATGAAGAGCCATGGTAAATCTATCTTTCCCACTGCGACTCACCAGCAACAAAAATTTATAGACACAATGCCTCTGAACTTACAAAAAACAGTTCCAGTTCAGCTTACACACTTACATTCAGCAGCTGTCACCAAAGGCCTTGTAAATCTTGCCTTGTAGACACCACTTACCATAGTCAAATCAGAATTCTATTAAGCCTCAAACCTGAACGAACAGGAGCTGGAGAAATGCCACTTACTTTTCTTCCATGATTAAGTAGGTCAACAAATTCATAGCACTGGCAGCTCTGTTGTCAGAAACCTTGACTAAGGACATCAACGTCTGTAGCCACCTAGAAAAGAAAAGCAATGTTCCCTTGTGTCTACAAGAGATCTACAATCTCAAGGCGGTAAACCGGCCAGAGTAAAATTTAGGGGCAGTTATCTGTTTACAGCTGTTGTACACAGAAAGCTTTGCACTTGGGAGCAAAAGGCATAGTGTTTCATTAATTATGCAGAATACAGGTTGGATGGCTTGAAAGTAGAAGTGAGGCTAGTACTGGAACAAGAACTGAGTCTCGTAGAGCACTAACTCCAAGCAGCATTTGTAGAAAACAACTCAAGCATTTTCCCCCAGGGGGAAGAAGCAAAATAGCTTTGATGCCCTTCTAGTTATGCCAACTGGCCTTTAAGGATATTGCATGGGGATGGAGGTGGGGGGGGGGATAAAAACTAGCAATTCACTGTGCTCCACAGATAAATTATATCAGCTGCAATTGCAAGCAGGCCTTTCCGCAAAACTGGGCAAAAGGAGGCTGACTCATCAAAATACTTGCTGGCAGCATTTTAAACAGCCCCTATTTCTTAAAAAAATGCAGAAGACCTTGATGATAGAACATAATCATTGTATAAAATACTATGCGTCAAAAAATGTCTGTTCAACAATTATTCCAAAGTGCAGTATTTCAGAAAAGAAGCTCACACTGAAATCCTCAGAATTATCATAAATTCCCATTACTTGGATAGATTCTTGCTAACTCAAAAGTGTATTTTTTAAAAAATGATGGAAGCTCTAAATGAAAAGCCGAGATGTACCACAAGTGTTTCTTTTCATATTGAATTAATAACTAACATCTACTCAGATAGCAGTTGAGAACATCTCTAAGCATTGAGAGTAATGGCCAAAATATGGATTGATATGAAATTCATGAAATTCTGCAGATAGGATCTTTTTTCCTCAGTAGAACCAACTGGCTTAAGATTAAATGTTTGCTTGATTGTTCATATCCTGCCCAGCTATTCTCATCTCTTTAGGCTGAAAAGCCAAGTACTGAAAGCGTGATGGCACTCCCTGCTTGGCACTTGTTCGCTGGCCAGGCCAACCATCTGTGTCTTGGATAAAGACAGTCTTCTCTTACGCCAGACACAGAGCGTTCACACTTCCTGATGGGGGACCAAGGGAAAAAGCCGCTACCGCTGCACTCCTTCCATTTCCCCCTTCTCGTCCCCAGTACCTGCTCTGGCTGCCCGGGTCCCACCCCGAGTCCACCCCTGATGCAGCAGGGGAGGTGCAAACATCTTTGGAAGATGTGCCATTTCACGAGCCCCAGAAAGGGGAGGTGACTGCTGTGGCTCTGCTAATTGTATCAGACAGACAGACAGAACCAGCCTCAGCAGGTTTCTGCGAAGGTCAATGGCTTCTCTTTGCTTCAGCGAGAAGTTCCAGGGCTCTGGTAGGGGTTGGTGGAGGGTGGGGGGGGGGCAGCCATATGATAACAGTATGCAATTACTTGGTGGTGTTCTGATGTCTGACTAGGAGGATCCTCCCGTTCTCTGTCTCTGCATAGAGGGACAGCAGGGCCATGCACTGTTCTTGGATTTCAGGCACCTCTGAGAACAACAAGGCAGGAAGCTGCAGATGCACATCAGGGTGTGTTAGAAGAAGGCGCTGGTTCTCCTCTGGGGTGAAAAGAAAGAAAAGCCACGAGAAAGTTTCAGCCAGCTGGCTACACCGAACACTCTACAAGTTGTTGTCGCAATCACCTCTGCCTTCCCAAAATCATGCAGCTGCGGTAATGCTCTTCTGTCATCCAGTTAAGAGATCCATCTATCTCCACGAGCAATGGAAAAAGAAAGAACATTCTGCTCCCTCTCGTGCCGTTTCTGGAGTGCACATTATGTCTCACATATGGGCAAGAAAAGCCATTCATGTCTCACTTGGTGACACCTTTCAAGCATCATTTGAGGAGCCAAGACGTGAATTAAGGCTAATGTGGACATCTTCATGCTCAAGAAACTAATTTAGCCTCCTTTCTCCAAATTGCTACTTCCTTGAGAAGGACTAAGGTGATCTTTCCCCTGGGACCGGATCCTGCGGTCGCTTTACTTCTAAGACAGGCTTGACACCCACCAGACACCACCAATACCGGAAAGGCTTCTGACCTCATGCCATGATGGCTTTCCCACACAGCTGCAATATTTACAGGCATAAAGACACCGGATCTTGTAAGGGAAAGTAAAATCCTCGTGAAGGAAGAGGATCATGCCAGACTGCTGACATTATTCATTGGAAAAGGCCATGATTTATAAGAATCCAAGGACAGACGCATGCACACACATAAAGGCCACACTGTGAAGCCTCCAGCAGCTACCGGAGTGTATGGAAGGCTGAAGGAGAGCAATTTGTCACAGATACAGGAAGGTGATGGTGGAGCAGTCCACAGGCTTGCTGCTAACACTGCACTTGCAGCGATGACCTTTGATCTGTAACTCTTTGGTGTGTGCCAAGGTCTTAGCACGATTAGTGCCTGAAAGAACTACACTCCCTGGAAACATGGATGAAGCCAAAATTAGCACCACATGAGGAATGATTGACGCAGATTACCATTCCCTTTGCAGACAGCTTGCCACAGGAGGAGGAGGGAACAAGCAAGCTCCAGTTCGGCAGGCGAGTTTATCTTGGCGCTGAGGACCCTGGAAAAGAAAAGAGCTGATTAAATGAGAAAGAAAGGGGTGTTCACTGCAGAATGGGTTGGTTTCACGGGATCACAAAACACAGCCCCCAAATTTGGCCTCTAATCTGGATGCCTCTGAAAACACCTTTCAAGCAATGCAAGGGTCCAAGCTGGATATTCAGCAGAGCTGAATAAGAATAAAGCTGCCAAGCCTGGCCATGAGTTTACCCGAGAATGCTATGATGGCAAAACCTTCACTCCCAAGGAACCCTCAAGATTGAAATAAAGGAAATGGCAGGAAAACGGTGCCAAATTATACCATTATTGACAAACGGTATCTCACATTTGTCAGTCGGATTAAAAAGCAACTGAAGAGGCAAAGGCTTGAACTGAAGGAGCAGATGTGGGAAAAGAAAACTTCTCCTGCACGTTTCAGAAAAATAACGTCCCCCTCCCTTTGTAAGGAAAAGCACACGGGAAGTCTATCAGCAGATTTTCCTTCTGGGAAGAGGTGCGGAGGGGCAAAGGACGAAGGACTCACCCCAGCATTGCTGTTCTTCCCTGGGCTACCACATGGAGGGAAAAAAGAAACTTACAGGGCAATTCAGGCTTCAGCCTAGCTTGGCCCTAACTTGTTCCAGGTACTTCATTAGATTTCAGAGAAGCTTCACTGGTGGGATTCAAGGGGCAAAATGCTCTCATTCCCTTGAATGCCTCAGTGGGCACTTTTCAGACATCTGAATTGGCCGCCAAAGGCTTCCGGTCTCTGTGATGCCCGAACTGCTCTTGCAAACTAAAAAGGCAAAGCCCTCTGAAGAGGCTGGGTGGGTGGTGCACGAAGCTCAATACGATGTGGCTGCCGTGCAAGGGGCTGCTCAGCCCTTCTGCCATTCACAGAAACGATTTTGTCTCCTGCCCATCATCCCGTGGCTGCTATGCCGTGGGAAGCCTTCTCCCACCCTTCTCCTGACGAGCACACCTACCGCTCTATGACCTTGTTGTCACTGATGACACTGAAACCGCCGTTTGTCCTAAACAAGGTTTGCTCAGTGCCTGCAACACATTCAAACAGAACCACGTCAGAGAAGTTGCTCAGGGAAGAGCATTATCTCGCTAGCTGAAACCCAGGATTAAGAGTCAATACAGGAACATTTCCTGGTGTTCTGGGCAAGACCCTCTGAGGCAGGGTTTCTCAACCTCAGCCACTTTAAGATGGGTGGACTTCACCTCCCAGAATTCCCCAGCCAGCATGAGGAACAGGACGAGGCCCTGTCCTGAAGCCGCCTGAGGGACAACTGCCAGGTTCCATGCTGGGAGTTGAAGTCCACCCATCTTAAAGTGGCTGAGGTTGAGAAACCCTGCTTTGAGGCATACAGCATAAGGCACTTCCAGTTACCCATGTGGGGCACCGGGCAAACAGGAGGCTCCCTGAGGCTTAGCCTGGCAGGCTGCCTATTCCACGGGGCACTCACAATCTTGAATCACGTTGATCAGGAGCCGAATGCCCCCCGCGTAATAAAGAGGGTCCTGATCTGGCTTGCCGAGCTTCCGAAGCAGCTCCTTCACAGAGACAGCTGTGGGCTTCCCAGACTGGTATTCCTCTGCGGCTCTCTCCTCCTCGCCCAATTTTTTCTCCTCTGAGTCTACTTCATTTATGCAACCTGGCAGCGGGAAAGGCAGAACTGACAGACGGTGTGGCGGAAAGAACTGGGAGGAAATGAACCGAGGATGACGGCGGGGCCCTGTCCTGAAGCCACCCGAGGCACAACTGCCGGGTTCCATCCTTCGGGGAGCGCGTCTGGCCTTTTGGCGATTAGCCGGACAATGGCGGCGGGTGCCGAAGGAGGGTCAGGCTTCTTACCTTTGCACAGCTTCTCCTTCCGGGGGTCAATTTCTAAAATCTTCAGGTAGCACTCTCTCGACTAGAAGCAGAAGGGGGGAACAAATATCAGCAGTAATGCACAGAGAGGAGAAGAGGATGTGGATGGGGCAATCGAGGAAAGGCTTGACCCCGTGGCTAACGTGAAGCACAAAGGCACCTCCCCGGTTGCTGAAATCCAAGCTCCGGCTCTCCCGGTTCCCCGAGATTCTTTCACAGTTCAGTTCTGAGGACAAAACCCCAAACTGCTCTTACGCTGCAGGTTCTTACAGTGCAGACTACTTCTTCTGGGGCCTGATAAGTAAGGCAGTCTGAGCTGGGGGGAGGCTTACATTTTTCCTGTCCTCCTGCAGTTTTGAAATGAACAAAAGAAGTCTCTTCTGACACTGCAAATTGACATGGAGGGGAAGGCAAGCAAGAGGCAGCCATTCCAATAGTCAAGTCTTTCCAGGGACAGTATTAGTTTCAGATAAGATATTTTCTCCAAAACAACAGCAGGGAAGGGGAAAAAAACTAATTTTACCCTCCATGCCCACTCTGGTTTTTAAAAACAGGCATTAAAAGCATGCAAACCATTTTCCGTTTGCCCCACACAAATAATGAGAAATATAGGTTCTTCTGAGTGCCTGTAACCAACCAAGATACAACCATCCTCTTCCTGATTTTTCTCCCAAAAAGTGGAGCCACCAGGAAGTTTAAAATTAAAGTACTTTTTAATATTTTAGTCAACACAATGAGGGCAAAGGCATCAGGCCTACCAATTCTGAGCATGATTTCCTGAGGACTATCTCCTTGGGACACCTTTCTATCTGCCTGATTTTCTTTCTCAACGACAATGCAGACCCACGAGCAGAATTCTGCAGCTTTAAGACCGACAGAATCCCCGCTGCCCATCTGAACAAGCCAATAGCCTCCGTATGCACATAGTAATAACTTGGTATAGAGCAGACCCTAAACAGGGTGAGGTCTCACCTGCTGGAACTGCTTCTTGGCCAAGTATGCCTTTCCCATGTGGAAGAGGGCTTTCGTGCATTTTTCATCGCACTGCATTAAAGAGAATTGTTTAGCAAAACGTGTAACTAGGGAAGTCCCTCCAGTGATTTAGTGCTACAATAAAGGCAGCAGGGTGTTCGCTGGTGGGGGTGGGTGTTAAAGAAGTCAAGATGCAGGCTGCAACTGCATATAAAAAAGGGGCATGGACTGTGTGGTTCTGATTGCCATCTTGTCTTTTCTCACCATCCCCCCACCCCCCGCGGGATCCCTGAATGGTAGCAGCTTGTTTCTGAAAACTGATGGTGTTTCAAGCATTTTTAGAACATTACTACTTGCTTTTCATTTTCTAACAGAAGACCATATGGGTCAAAGTTAATTCAGGCAGGTGCCAACTGCCTATCACGTGTTTGACTGAATGCCACCTTGCCACTCAGAGCACAGATTCAGAACAAGGCAAACAAGACAAACCCAGGACTATACCAGCTTAAAAAAGTCAAATAAACAACACTCCAGCCATTTGAGAAGGTTTCTAGATCGAATAACACCCAAACTGCTAACAATGTTATTATGCTTCCTTCCAAAATTAGAGGTACCATCAATCTTAAAATGCTGAGTTAGGGCCACCACTTTGGCATTCGAAGCTGGAATTGGATAAAGAGAAAAGCTATACAAATCTATGGCACTTGTGGCATCACCAGATGACAAAGAAGCAAAGCTTTCAGAAAGTTTTCAAGAGTTCATTACAGAGTGGGCATCAGCCTTCTTTTTCACTTCAAAGGAAAACGACGAAGATGTCCTACAGGTAGAGGAAGATGAAGGAGCTGGTGGCTGTGGGCTCTTCCAGGATGACAGCTGGAGAAGATACACCACACCTGCCGGCAGGCAAGGCAAGGCACTGCTAACATGTCTGCTACTGTTACCACAGACCAACATTTGGAAAAGTTGAAGCCAGCATTGCCTGGAAGAAGGTGGAAAACCAAGGGGAACTTGGAATACGGACATGGAATATTGAAACAAGAGAGATTATCTCATGGAGAAAGAATTAAAAGAGCGCTGTATTTCGAGTTGGGCAAATTTACAGGTAGATACATCTTGAACCTGTAAAACAGCTGATTGTCAGTCTAAACCAACCATATTCCAAGTTGAGAAGAACCAATGGTTCAATTATTAAGCTCCCCTTTGTGTTCCAAGTGCATTTCTCAAGAGTTTGGGAAATTGTGTGTCCTCTAGAAGCTTTAGGTCAAAGGGGATTGTCCTGGAAAGAAGACTCAGATCTCTTAAGTGATGGCCTGCTTAGGATTCTCGGCAACTCCTTTTCTGAGGGCACCCTGTAAAGAAGGGATTGACTAGTAGGAATGTCGTCCTGCTCCCATGAATGCCTCCAATTCCTGTTCCATAAAAGAGAATCCTGGAAGAAAGCAACTGAGGCACCAAGACAGTTCTTGGAATTCCTGTGAGAGGGCATCTCCATACCACAAAAGGTGGCACCTTGCAGGGTGACGGTACAGCCTCATTAAAGATGGCTCCAAGCAACAGGAGGAGATCCTTTTATTGAGTGGGATCTGCAAAATGGAGGTTTTGAGGATTTAAGAACAAGCAAACAAGCAAGGGAAGTGAGGCTCAAACTGCTGGCAGAATGGCTGTTCCTTTCTTCTTACAAGGCCAGAAGAATCTCTTACTTTAGTAATAGGCTGCTTAATGGAAGGTCATTGAAGACACACTGTCAGTTCAACTCTTTCCTTTTCTGGCTTTGAAGTGAATGTCACCCAGCCTGAGAGAGCTGACACAGAACAATACGTTTCAGTCTTCACAAGATCTTAGGAGGTGCTATGAATAATCTGTTTGGCATTGATTACAGGCATTTTTAACTAAATATCTGACATTTACACATGAGAAGCTAGGACACTGGTTTCGCAAGGCGGGTCATGCCCATCCATGGCCCTACTTCCCTCTCAAGTAGGACAGTGAATAAAGGCAGGAGGGACTTACCCGTAGCGCCCAGCTGCAGTCACGAATGGCTTTCTTGTACTTCTGCAGCTTGAGGTAGGCCTAAAGCAAAATAAACCAGAAGAACCATGTTAAGTTTCAATGGGGCTGTTACCCCAAAGTGCAGCCATTCCAGCAGGGCTTTCTTTGCAGAAGAGCTAATTCGCTGACCAGATAAACCGCCGGCCTAAGGAAACCTAGGCAGACGTGGTCATATTGCTGGCTCAAACTCTCTCAGAAATACACATTTAGGAGAAAGTAAGTTTGAAGGTCGTGCCTAGACTACTGCAGATCCTGGTCTCTGGGGAAGCTCATTCTGCTCCACTTAGCTTGCGTTCAGCCCTGCTCTAGGAGGCAAAGCCATGGCCTGCTTGCAATGAAATTAGCTTCCCCTCCCCCTGCCCCAGGGAGCAGTCTGGACCCAGGTATTTCTATATATTCATTTTTTTTTTGAGGTACAAATTTGTGGGATTTGATTCTTTAAATAAACATCTTGATTCAGGCAGAATTTTGAGGCTGAGGATTTTAAGGGAAAGGACACAGAACAAGGTAGCCAAATTTTGTTTAATTAGTCAGCATTGGTTAAAGAAGTGCACCAGGGTAAAGGATAACTCCAAAGAAATCTTCCAAGTAAAAGAGAGCTGAGAGAGATCAAAGGATGGATCCTGACAGGTACGTTTTGGGAAATGAAGCTTGCAAATGTCCAATGCAAAATTTCAGAAGGGAGAGAAAAAAGCAGGAACTGGAAGAGATAAGAACAGACGACTCTGCCTATGGACGTTTAAACGTTTTCCGTGTGATGTAGGAGCTTCCTTCATGCAGAAGCTCGGGAACAGCACGCAATGCCTTTCATGTCCCTGACAGAACGGAAGAGCCAAGGTACTCTTTCATCAGCATGAGACTGGTAGAGCTGTCTTTCCCCAGACAGGAATTTTTAATTTATTTATTTTGCTACTTAGCAACAGGCCACTGGAGTAAGGGATCAACAGCACCAAGCTGGCCTTTGTGCAACAGATAAAGGCAGCGGCTGTATTCCACGGGCAGGACCCCCAGCAGGAGCCGAGGACCAGGAAGCAAAGGTGCTGGGGGAGGGGCTGTGCCCGCTAAAGGTAAGAAGCGCAGGACTTACGCTGGCACACTGACCTGGGCTCGGTTGGTATACAGGGCTGACATGTCTTTCTGCTTCTTCAGGCCTTCTGTATAGTTCTGCACAGCCAAAGCATAGTCCCCTTTGCTGAAAGCATCATTCCCTTTTTCTTTTAGGGCTGCAGGAAAGGGGAATAATCAAAGGCATCTTTAAAAAGTCAAGTTATTGTAGTGAATATAGAGGACAGAGGGAAGATCTGCTACCAAGGCAATGATCAGATAAATGAGACTTGAGCCCAGGTCAAGAAAGCTGTTTGTGCAAATGGCTCAGCCCTGCACTCCACTTAATTCACACAAAGATAAAAGGGGTGGGGCAGGGGTGGGAAGGAAGCACGTTCAGCCTTGCAAGAGTCTGTTACTAGAGCCGTTCTAATAAATAGGTCTGCATGCTGTCTGTTTCTTAGTCTGTCTACCTGGTAGGGCTGATACTTACGCTCAAGTTGTAGGTTGGAAAGTTGGAGGAGAGCAGCAAGGCTCTTGTTGTCGAACAACCATTAAGTTCTACTGGGGTTGTTGAGTTGTAAGAATCTGTTATTGCCCCTTGTTGAGCTGCAACGATGCTTTGTGATCAATCATCCAACCTTGGGCCGTTCCCAAAACTGCTGGAGGCTTGAATGCCCCACAAAAGCTTTGCCAGAAACCGAGATCCTGGGGGTAAGGTCCCAGGTCTTCTGTTTCTAACCAACAACTCCAGCCACCCCTGCCAGACACCAATCCAACTCTTACCGTTTGCCAAGGCTTCATTTTCTTTCCTTCTTCTGGCTCGCTCCTGGGCATCCTTTTCTAAAGCAGCCAGAAAGCTCTCTAAAAGCCAGCAAAGCAAAGATGGAAATTCAATCAAAGGGAAAAGGACACAGGCATTTAAAAAGCAAAGTCAAACTGCAGAGCAAAGTCATTTCAGAGACATGAAGTGGAAATCTAAAAAGGCCATTTCATTAAGGTGGCACCAAATTAGAATGGGAGTCATAAGCTTTCCTCTACAGAGATCCAGAATGTAGAGACAGAGTGTAGCCCCTGCTTTGAAAAAAGCAACATTTCTAAGAGAGTGGAGCTTTCTAATTTCAGGCTAACGAAGTGATTAATATACCCTGAATTGCACCTTCCAGCCAACGAAGTATGTAAGAACTGATGTCTTTAGGTAGCCAACTGAGGGCAGTTCTGATTTTAGAGGTGAAAACTTGCTCAGCGGTTATGCGAGGCCAATCCAGGTCCAAGGATGGACAGAAGGCACGTCTCCCACCCGCTGTGCCACGAGGAGGGCCTCGGGGCTGTGAGGAAACCCAGTGAATCTCCCATGAGCAGGAAGCTCCCTCCACACAGAAGGGCAGGCAGGGACCCCAGGAACTTCCTGGAGATCACGGGCTGGTTTATTCCAAAGGTCAAAGTATGAGCAGTGGCTGCTGCTTTCACTCCATGCTCCCTCCCACCAGAAAGGGAAGAACCAGAGTCTCTCCCGAGCTTTATGCTGGTTCACGATATCTGGGCAAGAGTTGGCTTACAGTACAGGCAAGAACACGTGGCACTTCAGTTCCAAACACACCTGACATGATCTCTTACCAGGATTCATCATTTCCTCCTGACTCGGCAACCCCTAGAAGAGAGGAAGGAAAGCAAAACATCAGCTGGATGCTGTGGGGAGGGAGGACAGACAAACCACAGTATTCCGCTTTGCTTTAGCCAGCTAACCTTGTCTGGGCTTGGCAGCTAAGCAGGATCAAGCCTGGTTAGCATTCGGATGGGAAGTTTCCAGGAAATCCAAGGGCAGTCGGCTAGGCTGGCATTTGCTTCCCAGGGCGGGCATCCTTTTCTTTACAGAACAGGTAGCCTTCTCAACAGAGGGCGACACCTGGCCGGCTGACCTTGCCTCATTAGAAGAAAAACCCTAAAGAGAGTTCGACCACTATGTAGAGAGGAGACCACTAGGAAAATTCAGGGCTGTGGGCTAGACTGGGAGCGGGGGGGAAAAAACTTGTGGAAGAAGGCATGGACAGACCATTTCTGTATGGCTGCTGAGAAACCTAGGGTGCATCTACCAGGGGTCATATGAACTCCTACGAGTCTTTACTTTGTCGCAGCAGCAGCAGGCTGGGCAGCTAAGGAGGGTCAGGCTTGGCTGTTCCTCAGATGGGAGACCACCAAGGAATGCCAGGCCTGTTAGCTAGACCCGGAAGTCCAAAAAACACAACCCGCAGCAGATGGCAATGGCAAGCCTCTTGATATCGCTGCCCAGAAAAGTACAGGGACGTCTCCATGAAGTCACCAGAAGTCGAGCTGAACTTGGAGGGGACTTTACCTTTACGGCATGACAAAAATATAAGTGAGAAAAATGAATCGGACTCATTTTTCAAAGCCACTTAAATGCGACTGCACAATAACCTACACCTCAAAAAGTGTTTCCAAAGCTGTCAAAGCTAATTTAAGTCAATAACCTTAAAAATCTACACGGTGGAATGAAAACAAAGGGCCTTAATAATTCTGGGCACAAGACAGAAAAATCAATTTGGCCCAGGATTCTGCAGGCATTTCAGTTGGGCAAATGGCAGCTGCGGGCTAGCACTTTAAGTGACATTAATGGCATACCACTTTGCACTTTGTAGGTAGAACCTTTCAAAAGAAAATTCCTCTTCCTGGGGACAAAAATGTTAGGGAGCCACTCCTGAACAGATTTCTATGTGTAGGGCAAATACAAGTTGCATAAAGGGAACTAGAGGTACCTACCTCCTGATTAATTCATTTAAGGAAGGCATATATCATCTTTTGCCTTTTCAAGGATTACATGCCCTATATACATTATAATATAATTGGGTGTAATACAGTGACAAAATTAGGATAAAAACCTTTTAAAATTAAATGAAGCCTGCCTGGATGAATAATTTTGTGTGACGTTTATAGGATACAACCCAGCTGACAGACGAGCCTCTTTGAGGGGTCAGGACCGCATCCGCCCCAGGCGGGGGAATGAATTTTTCAGAGGCAAGGGATGTCTCAAAAGACCTGGAGGAGGCTGCCCAAATGCCTTCCCTTCCCAGGTGTGACCCCTCCGACACCGCAAGGGGGCTGGAAAAGATTTTCTGCTGGCTCCAAGAGAAGGCTGTTTTTCAAGCCCACTTTTGGGGTGGGGGATATTTATGGATTTAGTGATTTAAGCTAGGACCGTTTATGACCTATTGCGCTTCTTCTTGCCACAGCAGGCTTATCGTTCAGGGGTTTATTCCCCGCTTTCCCAAACTGTGCATGCGACATCCACCGGGCCAAGGGAGGGAGGGGGCTAAACGGTGGGCAGGAACACGCTGATGGGCTGCTGACAACTCCCCGTCGCCTTCTGCTTGGTTCTCGCCGAACGAAGCGGTACCGGAGGCCGCGTGTTGATGAGGGTCCTGTCCAGCTTCGGCTTCCGTTTCGCCCCCTCTTCATCTGAAGCGGAACTGAGTCTTTTCTCGGCACCCGCAATGGCTTTTTCCTGGATGGCCGGGTCTGTTGAATTCAGCCCTTGGATCAAGTCGGCTGGAAATGTTTTTTTTTTTAAAAAGAGAAATAGATCATTTGGAAAGAGAAGGAAGGTGGGGCAAGTCAGGAGTTCTAAGTCCTGGGCGGTTTGCAGGTGGGGAGGGGGCCACAGGGCAAGAGGCAGTTGCAATCAAAGTCGGGGTTGCTCAACCTCGGCCCCTTTAAGACGGGGGCACGTCAACTCCCAGAATTCCCC